ACTCTGGAGGTAATTACAGGGAAATCTGAATAGATGGGAAATTCACGTCTTTGAGCCTCAGCTCTATGATGTATGAGAGAGAGAGGGAGGTAGAGAGACACAGCCAGAGAGTGGGGGGACAGCGGGGACTTGAACCCACCACTGTTATTGTTCTGCAGCCAAAAACATCCAGAGCATGTGTGGTAAATCTGCTCGTGACCCACTGCTTTTCTCCAGCCACCGTTGTCTGTGGAGGGGGAAGTGGGTGACATCATGTTTCCTCCTCCAAACAGGTGAGACGAGAGGGAATTCAAAGACAGTTCCACAAACATTCAAACCCTGAGGCTCTTGTGTCTTTTTATTTTGGCCTTGGCCGGTCCTCCCCCCCCCCCTCCGCCTGGCCCCCCCCCCCCCCCCTACTCCCCCCATACTTTCACCATTAGATAGTCCTGACAGCACCGACTGTGTTTAAAAAAGTAAGACTAAATCTCATTGTCTCATTAGATCTGCAGTTGTGTTTTACCAACATCAACTTTATTTTCAGTGCAGTCAAATACCAGGTGCAGAGGACCTGCCTGCTGGTCCACAAAGCCTCCAGGAAGTTGCTGACATGCAGCATCGGTTCCAGGAACAAACAGCTCTTCCACTCAGCTGTCATGCAGAGAGTCACAAACTCACTGTTGTTTGTTTTCTCTCGTAGGAATAAAAAGCTCAAAATTTGCATTAATTTAAAGTAAATATTCAGACGTCGGCAGATTCTCACGTTATCATCTGCAGAGCTGGAGCACTGACGGAGAACAGCCGAATATTTAGTCTTCCTGGCAATCATCCAACCAACCAACCAACCAACCAACTGTCCATCCAACTATCAGCCCCCCTCTCCCCCCACCTGTCTCCTCTCACTCTCCTCTCTGTGATTCACTGGAGCAGAAACTTCATTAACAACTGGATCTTCGTGTCTCGTCTTCACTGTGACTCACTTCAGCTGATCCACTTCATGTTTTCACTCTCTTTTGTTCCACAAATCACTTCTCTTGTCAGTATTAACTGCTGTTCATGTGATTATCTGTAACCTGATGATTAACTCACCACACACACACACACACACACACACACACACACACAGCCTCAGGAGACCGTAATGAACTTAAACACTACATCTCTCACACCAGACTGGAAAAGTCAGAGCTCTTATCTGATCACAGCGCAGTGACACAGTGATGTCATTCAGTTTGACTCTCATCATCATCATCCTCATCATCATCATCATCATCCTCATTGTCGTCATCATCGTCGTCGTTCGTCGTTGTCGTCGTCGTCGTCATCATCCTCATCCTCATCCTCATCATCATCGTCGTCATCATCATCATCGTCATCGTCATCATCATCGTCGTCATCATCATCATCATCATCATCATCCTCATTGTCATCATCGTCATCATCATATATGATGTATTATTACATCATCGTCATCATCGTCATCATCGTCATCATCGTCATCCTCATTGTCGTCGTCGTCGTCATCATCATCATCATCATCATCATTGACACTAATAACAACAGACAAACAGATGATGAAGAGACTCTCATTTAGAGTTGGTTTCTTTGTTTCAGTTTTTAAGCCAAATGAAGCACAGATTTGTTATAGGTAGTAGCCCATGTGTATGTGGCCCATGTGTATGTGGCCCATGTCAGCCACTGCATGTGGGCCACTAAAGGTGAGAGCTGGTCCTGTGGTGTCCAGAAGAACCCATCACCCAGGACCAGATCTGTCCAGACCTACAGTCAGAGTGGATGTGTTCCACCCTGAACCTCATCCTGGTTTCATCAGGGAGAGAGGGAGGTGG